TTTTTGGGAGGAAAGTGGCTATATAAGAACCAGTGGTGCTCTCGGGAACATCTTCCATGAGACATGGAGGGTCTTTGCAGTCCCACCTCATCTGCAGCCAGGGAGGAGTTTTCTCTCTGGAGATCCTGCTCCAAAAGCTGCTCTTCATGTGGAAAGAATTGGAATATCCGACTTTTTTCTGGGCCTTTTCTGGTTTCCAGTCTGTTTTCTGCACTTCCTCCATTTTCCATCCATCTCCTCTGGTGTCTTTTCTCCTTTTTTGAGGAAAACCTGACTGTTTGGTGGTTTTTCTTGCCGTTGTAGTTACCAACCTGCTGAACATGGCCTCCTCCAGCGCCATGGCTCAACACGGAGCTGGCTCTGCATCGCCTGCACGAGGCTCGGGGCACCGTTCCAGTACGGAGCAGCCATTCCCCATTAAGAACCCACTTTGGGACTGGTTTGAACTGGGAGTCGCTCTGACTTGGCTCTTCCAGGGGCCAGAATCTCTTTGCTAAAGGCGCCGGGTGCTGCCCGTTGCCACGTGAACGTCTCGTGGGGTGACTGACCCCGTCCCGGTGCATCAAGTAGAGCTTGTTTGGGTCTGGGACAATTTGGAGAATGGAATTTCTCCTGTGAATGAGGGAATAGTCGATAAAACACCAGATCTGCCCTGGCTAAAGCCCCGAGCGGGTCTGATTGGCTCCCTCTTCTTTAACACCACTGGGGGCCTGCCCCCCTTGCCACCAGGAGCGAGAATTGCCCTTTTTCCTCCTCTGCCGGAGGAATTTAAGTTCTTTTTTCCTATACAATCTGGCAGGAAGCTCTGGAAATGCTGCCTTCTGCCCACCCTGGAGACCCGAATCCCATCCTTTGGCTGATTACCATTGCGCAGGTAAACAGGAGGAGAACAGATCCCTTGGCTTTGGGATTTGTTCTTTAAAATGTGGGTTTTCCGGTGGGGAAAAGTCTCATTTTAATCCATTTCTGGGGCTTTTTGAGGCAGGGAGATGCCCCTTCTAACAATTTGCCTGTGGCTGTTTATCCAAAGGCTTGGATACTTGGACCCCACTGGAACAGCAGTTGTTTCAAGAGGCTTTTTACACCCATGTGAAATGTGTTCACCTGATTCGTGTTAATATCTTTAACTGTTCTGTTTGTCCTTGTGTGACCATGGGCTTGGGAGAAGCGGGATTGGATGGATGTAGTTTCTGTTTCTGGCAAGAACCTGATGCCGAATTTGCCCCAAAAGGCGAAATAGAAACCGCTCAGAGACTCAGTTTTCAAGTCCATAAGCAGGAGGTATTGATTAGCAACGCGTTGGGGAACTCTCCAGGCCGCCAAGGTGGGAGTGACCTTGCTTCATCCTAAAATTGCTGAAGCCACCACTTCATGTTCTGGTGTTCCTTCCTATCAACTCGTTCTGTTCTCTCAGACAATTTATTACCTTCGTGATTTGGTAAGATCCACCAAATGTGGCCTGACTGAGCACAAACGGGGCCTGCAACTCCCGTTGCAGGGAGTAGGCCTGAGCCCAGCACCATGATGTCTTGAAGCAGCAAAAGAGTGTTGTCGCCCTTGTTGGGAGAGAGGGGATTCCAAGAAGGACCCCAGCTGACATTTTAACTCCTTCTTTCTCCAAGACTGCTTCCTTTGGAGCCGTTTCATTTCCCCCCTTTTCTTCTAACTTACGAATTGGGGGGCCACCAAGAGGTTGGGGTCAAGGTCATCTCATCCCACCTCCCCACAGTCAGCAGGGACACCCCCAACTAGACCAGGTTGCCCAGGGCCTCGTCGAGCCTCTCCTTGAATATCTCCAGGGATGGGGCCTCAACCACCTCCCTGGGCATCCTGTTCCAGTGCTCCACCACCCTCACAGTGAAGAACCCTCTCCTCATCTCCAGTCTAAACCAGTTCCCCTCCAGTTTGAAGCCGTTTCCCCTCGTCCTGTCACTGCAGGCCTTTCTAAACAGGTTCTCCCAACCTTCCTGTAGGCCACCTTCAGATCTTGGAGCCGCCTCTTCTCCAGGCTGAACAACCCCAGCTCCCTCAGCCTGTCCTCGGAGCAGAGGTGCTCCATCCCCCTCATCATCCTCTGGACCCTCTCCATCAGGTCCATGTCCTTCTTCTATTGAGGGCTCCAGACCTGCACACAAGACTCCAGGTGAGGTCTCAAAGCAGAAGAACCACCTCTCTGGACCTTCTGGCAACGCAGCCCAGGATGGGATGGACCTTCTGGGCTGGAAGTGCCTGCTCCTGTCCAGCTTCTCCTCCACCAGCACCCCCAAGTCCCTTTCCTGGGGACCCACCTCTCCAGGTCCCTCTGGGTGCCCTCCCGTCCCTCTGCTGGATGGACACCACCACCACACACCTTGGTGTCCTCCATGAACCTGCTGATGGTCTCTCTTGAACTGGGGAGCCCAGAACTGGTCCCAGTGCTCCAGTGGTGGCCTCCCCAGGGCAGAGCAGAGGGGGGAGAAGGACCTTCCTCCACCTCCTGCCCACGCTCTTCCTCATGCCCCCAGGATCCCATTGACCTTCTTGGTGACAAGGTCCCATTGGTGGCTCCTGGGGAGGTCACTCTCCACCAGGACCCCCAGATCCTTCTCCTCAGAAGTGTTTCCCAGTAGATCCACCCCCAACCTCTCCTGGTGCCTGAGGTTCTTCCTCCCCAGGTGCAGGACCCTCCACTCTTGGTGAACCTCAGGAGGTTCTTCTCCGCCCAGGTCCCCCTGGCTGGTGGCCCAGCCCTCTGGAGGGTCACCCAGTCCTCCCAGTTTGGCACCATCACCCAACTGGCCGAGGACACGCTCCGTCCCTCCTCCGGGTCAGCGATGAAGACGTTGACCAAGCCTGGACCAAGGGTTGACCCCTTGGGGGGACACCACCGGCTCCAGGTCTCCAACGTGACCCCGCTCCGTCCGTGACAACCCTCTGAGCTCTGCCCCACAACCAGGACCCATCCCCCCTCCCTGCCCCCTCATCCAGCCCCTAATTGCTTAATTTCTTAACGAGGACGTCGTTAAGGCCTCGCTGAAGTGGAGGGAGATCCCAGGCCCCACATGTATGTTCCTGGCTGTGGAGACGTGTGGCATGGGTCACACACGCCCGTCATGCCATGGACATGTATGTGTCAGGCCTCCATCACTCGTGCCAGAAGCCCCACACGCTTGTTCCAGGCCCCACACGTATGTTCCAGGCCTCAGATACGTGTGTCGTGGGTCACACACGCCCATCATGCCATGGACATGTATGTGGCAGGCCTCCGTCACCTGTGCCAGAAGCCCCACATGCTTGTCCCAGGCCCCACATGTATGTTCCAGGCCTTAAGCACGTGTTTGACACGCCTCACGGAGGTGTCCTGGCTTCCACACGTATGTTCCAGGCCTGGGTCATGATTTTTGGGGGTCTCAGACACGTCATGGGCCCCACACGCGTGTTGGAGGCCTCGGCCACGTATGACATGGAGCCCACCTACATGTCAGGCCCGTGACATATATGTTCCATGCCTTGGACACGTGTGTTGCAGGGCTCAGACACATGTCACAGGTCCTACATGTATGTTCCATGCCTTGGAGATGTGTGTCACAGGCCCCACACGCGTGTCATCGGCTTATCATGTATGTTCCTGGTGTCAGTCACATCTGTCACAGGCTCTACACGCGTGTCGTGGGCCCCACACATGTGTCATGGGCTTAACGTGTATGTTCCATGCCTGGGTCATGTGTGACACAGGCCCCACACGTGTGTCACGGGCCTCACACATGTCTCACGCCATGAAAGGCGTGTAGAGCCCGTGACACGTGTGACTGAGGCCTGGAACATATGTGTGGGGCCTGTGACGTGTCCAAGCCCCATAACACGTGTGTCCAAGGCATGGAACATATATGTCACGGGCCTAACATGTAGGTGGGGTCCATGTCACACGTGTCCGAGGCAGCCAACACACCTGTGGGGCCCATGACACATCTCCGAGACCCACTACACGCGTGTCTGAGGCCTGGAACATACGTGTGGGGTCCATGACAGGCGTGCAAAGCCTGTGACACACGTGACCGACACCAGGAACATACATGTTTCACCCGTGACATGCGTGTGGGGCCTGTGACACACGTGCCTGAGCCCCCCAAACAGGCGTGTCCAAAGCATGTAACGCACACGTTAAGCCCATGACATGCGTGTGGGGCCTGGTCTACGTGTGTTTAAGGGCCCAGAACATACGTGTGGGGCCTGTGGCCTCCAACACACGCGTGGGGCCCGTCACGCGTGTCCCTGCCCCACGTGTCCCCCCCTCCCCACACGTGTCCCTGCCCCACACGCGTGTCGTGGGCCCCTCAGCGCTGTCCCCATCCCCCCACCCTGCCCCACACGTGTGTGTGTGTGTCCCC